GGATTTCTTATCAAACTACCTCCATTCCACAGTAAGCAGGTCTGAGTATCTTATTTACCAGCTGAGTAACAGGAATTATTGGGTAGAGTTTCAGGCATATTTTGAATACATCGGAATAAAGTCACCAGACTCAATTCATCCCCAAAGACATGGACTTTTTTCCTCTGTATTAGATGTCCCATGGCAAAGGTGTTATCGGTGTATAAAACCTGAGAAACAAACCAAAAATCTTCGTCAGACATGAGCACAAAATGGGAGGCGTTGGACACAGAAAGCAGAATCGGGGTTTGCACCTACCTGCCCATATATAAAAAAGTAGCCAGTTTCCTTGACCAATATTTTATTCTCTCTTTCTTCTAGGGCACTTCCTCTCTTAAAGCTGAGAAGCCAAGGAACAAATGTGTAAGCTCCTGCGAGAAGAGAAGCGCTGATGAGAGAAGAACCACGGGCAGCAGTCTGCACATCCACTTAGGGGCTGAAATAGGTGCGGGTGAAACTTAGAAGGGCATTTCACCTTTAAAAGATAAGTTAAAAATAAGACAAATTCTGTAGAGCCAGCTACTTGGGAGACCTTGGCATCACAGGTCACGGCACTCTCCCCAGGGCGACACATTGAAATTCTGTCTCAAAAAAAAGACGAATTACAGTACTACATTGGCTTCTTAATGCCACTCAAATATTAACCTGAGCAGCTAGCAGATGCAGAGGCGTGAGAGCAAACACTTTATAGGAACGTCTGGGTTTCTCCTTCACGTTCTGTGTTTCAGCTATTTAAGAAAGGCTGGTCTGGATGGGAGAGTAACGGAGCCAAGAGCAGATAAAATTCTCTGAATGGTGCACTCCTGGTTCTGAGAGGACAGAGGAGTCTGTGAATACCTTAGCCAAGGGCACTCGAGGTGGCAAGTCTCCTAACCCCAACACAGACTGGTGTGGGAGCAGAGCCCCAGGAAGGGAGAAGATATGCCCAAGGTCTCTGTAACAACAGCCTGTGATTCCTGGTTTACACGTTTTCTGTTCAGTTCGTTGATAATTCTCCTCCATTATTTCTCAACTATCTCTTGGGGAGTAACAGGTGAGTTCTGGTGCTGAGGGGTGGGATGAAAGGGGCAGAGAAAACAGCAACCACAGGGCGAGCCGGCCAGAGGGACCTGATCACCGAGCTGGGATCATGGGCTGGTGCTGGTGGGTTTCAACACCCAGGGAGTAGAAGCACCCCTCTCCTGTGAACTCCTGCTTGAGCCCCCTGCCTATGCGATGTAAACATCAGAGACCAGGTTGAGCCCTAAGGGACCAGCCAGAGGGACCTGATCACCGAGCTGGGATCATGGGCTGGTGCTGGTGGGTTTTAACACCCAGGGAGTAGAAGCACCCCTCTCCTACTTGTGAACTCCTGCTTGAGCCCCCTGCCTATGCGACGTAGACATCAGACACCAGGGTGAGCCTAAGGCGAGGGGCTGGGAAATTTGGGGAGTAGCAATAAAATGATCAGTGACTAGAAGATGAGGGAAATGGTAATTTAGGATAGAATAATAAACTAAAGCTGTGGTAGTTTGTCCAAAATTATATTAAAAATAATTGGTAATGGTGGGCCACACATATCTCCAAATTTCACCCTCATCATAACAAAAAGGAAAACAAAATCAATTAAGAGTCCAAAAAAGACAATGTGCCAGAATTCAAAGAATAACTTTTCCCAGAACTGAGATTAAGTAAAACTTTCTCCCGTGATTTCCCTCGGGAGCACACTGTGATGTGGGAGCTGCCAGTGTTCTTGCATCCCAGAAGTTTGACTGTCAAGTGTAGGAGTCTCCTGCAGAGGGTGTCCAGAGAAAACTGATCACATTTGAACTTTTTCCAAATAAAATTCTTTTTAAATTTTATTTTTTAATCTGACAGATAAACTTGTATACATGTATGGCATGCTGTTTTGAAATCTGTATGCATTGTGGAATGGCTAACTCAGGCTAATTGTCATATATATTACTCCATATGCTGTTATTTGGGGGTGAAGATACTTAATACCTACTTTCTTAGCATTTTTCAAGAATATAAAACATTATTTTTAACTGTCATCACCATATTATATAACAGATCTCTTAAACTGAGTTCTTCCGTCTAACTGAAATTCTGTCATCTTTGACCAACATCTCCCCAACCCTATCCACCACCACCTCCCTAGCCCCTGGTAACCACCATTCTCTCTCTCTTTTCTTTTTTTTTCTCGAGACAGAGTCTCAAACTATCACCCTGGACAGTGCCATGGTGTCATAGCTCACAGCAAACTCCAACTCGTGGGCTCAAGAGATCCTCTTGCTTTACCTTTTCTATTTTAGTAGAGACAAGGTCTTAACTTTTTGCTCAGGCTGGTCTCAAACTCATGAGCTCAAGCAATCCACCCGTCAGCCTCCCAGAGTACTAGGATTACAGGTGTGAGCCACCACATCTGACCACCACCATTCTCTTTACTTCTACAAGTTCAGCTTTTTTTTTTTTTATATTCCACACATGACTGAAATCATGCAGTATCTGTTTTTCTGTGCCTGGCTTATTCCACTTGACACACTGCCCTTCAAGTTCATTCATGTTGTTGTAAAGAACAGCATTTACTTTTTTATAGCTGAATCATATCCCACTGTGTATAATGCACATTTTCCTTCTCTATTCATCTGTCAATGGGCCTTTAGACTGATTCAGCATCTTGGGTACTGTGAATAGTGCTACAGTAAGGATTGAAGTACAGATACTGCATCTGGGGCCAGACCACCCTGGATGCGTCTGATTTGGCTGATGTTAGAACTCAGAGGGTTGGCCCTGGCTAGCCCTTGGGTGGGAAGATGTTCAGTTCCTTTTATAGATACCGAATAGTGGGATTGCCAGGTCATATTGTATTTTATTTTTACTTTTTTCTCCTTTTTTATTTTGGTAGTTATAAGTGTACACGTTGCGTTCCATCATGTGTGTTTTTTATGTAGTGGTGAAGTCTGGGCTTTCAGTACACCCATCACCTGATCAGTGGGCGTTGTACCCCACAGGGAATTTCTTCATCCCTTACCCGCCTTACTTTAATTTTTTGAGGAAATTCCATACTATTTTCCCTAAAAGCTGTACTGATTTCAATTATCACACCAAATAAGATTCTGAAGAGGAAAAGACAAAATATAAACCTCGATTTCTGTGTATTTCTAAGGATTTGAGAGCCCTAATTGATAAAAACAAGACAGATTATACTGAAAATTCAAGTTAAAGTGAACAGTTCCCTTCGGCAGCCCTTTAATTCACACAGACAGAGGTAGGAAATTTGCCATGGAGAGAGGGAGGAAGTAGGAGTTTGGGAGGGAGGAAAGGGGCTGAGCGAGGCAGAAAGAGATCTCAGGGTCTTGTTGGCAAACCCTCCTGTGTGTGCCCCTGCTCACTCCCAGGAGCCACCTTCTTCACTGGCTCTCATGGAGCCTGAATGTGCCCCTGACCCAGGGCCAGTCTAACCTGCTTTTCCCAAAGAAGGGCTCTAAGGAACATTTCCCTTAAATAAAAACCCAGGCACCATACTGGATAATAATACCAAATGAACAACAACAACAAAATGACCTGATTACAAATAACAAAGGCAAAATCATCCTCACCTATCTTCATGTGATATAATTTCAGTAAAAAGATTATACATAGTAATAAAACAGTGGAAAGATTGCAAGAAAATAGTTTTTAATTTTGCTTAAATGGTATCATGGACTCAAAGTAGATTTTTAGAGTGCTGAGAAAATGAGGGAGAATTGATATAATGATTTTCATTATTGTAAAATACTAACTATTGACTTTGGAGGCAAGTGCTTTCATGGTTTAATGATAATCATTTACTACTTAGAACAAAGAGAGCTTTATAAAAAATAACACTACACATTTTAGATTCTGACCTCTTTGGAGCTGAAAGGCTGTTGTGTTTGATTCCTTGCTTCTTTCCAGGGCTTGGCATGATGATTGGTCCAGAGTAGACATGTGACAAATACTTTTAAAATTAACTAACTCAAGCATAGACATAAAATAATTTGAAATAACCATGTACTATGGCAATTAATCACAAGTATTTAGTTGGTTTTTTAAAAATAATTTTACTACAGTTACTGAAATTCTGGTAAAGGAAACCCCGTGTATACTCTTAAACTGAAGTAAAACACACACAATCAAGACTGCTTATTTATATTCTAGCGAAACATTTTAATTCACTAAAATTTTTTGCAACAATTCAAATTGATTTCTTACATCTTTCCACTGTATTTATGTCTATAAAATTAATGACTCAGTTCTTACTAAATTTCACTGCTGTATTTTAGCAAAGAAAGAAAACCAAGTAGCTGTTAGGTCTGTATTCTTATCTTGACATTTTCTTTTGGTATTATATCAATTCTTTCTGTCAATCCTCTTATTAAAGTGACAGAATACATGTTTCCTTGTTTTTATTTTCTATCTATTCCTCCAACACTCTGTACACACATCCATGCACGCACAGGTCCACACAGGTGCATACACAAACACAAGGTATACTCCATACGGTTAAAAAAATTGTTACAGAATGACTAACAGACATATGAAAAATGCTCGTCATCCTTAATCGCCACAGAAATGCAAATGAAAACCACCCTGAGACATAACTTAACCCCAATGAGAATAGCCCATATCACAAAGTCCCCAAATTACATATGCTGGTGCAGATCTGGAGAGAGGGGAACACTTTTACACTGTTGGTGGGACTGCAAACTAATTCAGCCTCTTTGGGAACAAAGTATGGAGAATCCTCAAGGAACTCAAATGAGACCTCCCGTTTGATCCTGCAATCCCACTACTAGGCATCTACCCAGAAAAAAAAAAAAAAAATTGTCATAAAGATATTTGCACTAGATTGTTGACCACAGCTCAACTTACAATTGCCAACATGTGGAAACAACTTAAATGCCATCAAGTCAGGAATGGATTAACAAACTGGTATATGCATATCATGGAATACTATTCAGCCACTGAAAGAGATGGAGACGTTACATCTTTTGTATGAACCTGGATGGAGTTGGAATACATTCTTCTCAGTAAAGTATCATAAAAATGGAAAACTAAATATCCAATATACTTGGTACTAATATAAAATGAATAGATGATCTAATTCATGCCCACATAGGAGAAAAACTCGTTTCAATTCAAGTTTGGAGGAGCAAGGATGGGGAGAAGGGAAGGGCAGTTTGGGGTGCTCCCACTTAATGGTGTACAGAATGTACTGGTATATAGAACACTTTCTGAATGCAGGACACAACTGCAAGAGGGACTCCACCTAACAAATTCAAATACTGTGACATGGTTATTTGTACCCTCACCATAACCTGAAATTAAAAAAAAAACTGTTACGTAGCTCTATACTCAAATGCCAAGA